TGCCATCTACCCTCTCACCCATACCCTGCATACACCCTTAAAATATACATCCTATGGTTACCAGGGCCAAAAATGGTATTGTTCAACCCAGGATACACCCTACCCTTCTTCTAACACATCTTGAACCAACATCCTATAAGCAAGCTATGGCTACTCCCGAGTGGTTTGCTGCTATGAAATCTGAATACGAGACATTGTTGAAAAACAACACTTGGACTCTTGCTCCTACTCCAACTCACAGAAAACCTATTAGTTGTAAGTGTGTTTTTAAAGTAAAAGAAAATCCAGATGTCTCTGTTAACAAGTACAAGGCCAAGTTGGTTGCTAAAAAGTTCCATCAAATTGAAGGTTTTGACTACACTGAGGCATACTCACCTGTAGTAAAACCAATTACTGTCAGGGTTGTCTTAACTTTCTATTTCTCAAAAATGGGCTATCCAACAGTTCGATGTTAATAATGCCTTTTTAAATGGCATTCTTAATGAAGAAGTCTATATGGTACAACCCCTTGGTTTTGTGTTAAGTGACTCAGGCTTGGTTTTCAAGTTGCACAAGGCTCTTTATGGCCTTAAGCAGGCTCCTAAAGCTTGGTTTGAAAGACTCAAAGGTGTTATTCTTTCTCTTGGTTTTATAGCCAGCAAGTGTGATCCTTCCTTATTCATCTTGCATTCTACTGTGTGTTACACACTTGTCTTAGTGTATGTGGATGATATAACCATCATTGGCTCCTCACAGCAGTTCATACACACTTTGGTGTCCAAGCTTAATCTTTCATTTTCTCTAAAAGATCTGGATCAGCTGGACTACTTTCTTGGCATAGAACTAACATGATGGCAGCCAAGGGAATTGCCTCTCGTATAGCCTCAAGCACCAAACTTTCTAAAGTTGGCTCAGCTCAAGTGAGTGATCCAACTTACTTCAGGTCTGTGGTAGGAGCTCTACAATATGCTAGAGTTACAAGATCTGAAATTTCCTATGTTGTTAACAATGTCTGCCAGTTTCTATCTAATCCTTTAGAGGATCATTGGAAGGCAATTAAGAGAATTTTGAGATACTTGCAGGGCACCTCCAGTCATGGTCTTTTACTTGCTCCAGCCAATCTCAGTACTCCCATTACAATCATAGGTTTCAGTGATGGTAGTTGTGCATTTAATTTTGATAATAGGAGGTCTACTTAAGGAGCATGTCTATTTTTAGGCCCTAATCTTGTCTCTTGGTAGGCAAAGAAACAAACACAAGTTGTCAGATCCAGTGCTGAAGCAGAAGATAGAAGTCTTGCTCATGCTACAGCTGAGATTTTGTGGCTTCAATCTCCTCTTCTTAAGCTCAAGATCAAGCATCAGGTCTTTAGGATTTTATGTGATAACCTCAGTGTTCTCTCCTTGGCTCATAATCTAGTTCTGCATTCCAGGACTAAGCACATGGAGTTGGATATCTTCTTTGTCAAGGAGAAAGTTCTAAGCAAAAGTCTCACAAACATTCTACTGACCTCATACAAACAAACAGGAATGCATGGTCCCAGTTAGCTACATCAAACTGGACTACTTATCGATGTTCGGTAACTCAACAAACATGCCGATTATTTGCTTTCTAATATCACTAATCAGCCAGCTACTACCATCCACTTGCATAACTATGATTTTGACGCTTAAATCACCTTACATATTAAAGTGGTCATCATTCTAAAAATCAAACAACCTGAAAACATACATAACTGTGCCGCATACCCTCACCTCTAAGGACATACACTCATTGATAGTAATACTCTAATCCTTTCTCTTTGGGAATCAAAACCTCTTTTTTTTTTGCACCATAAATCGGATGGCAACTATTGTTGATTAAGGCCATCTATTTTAATATGCAAAGTTGAATACAAGAAAAAATCTAGTAAAACTAATTGGTCTTCAATTGACTGGACATTAAAATATCCATTAGCTGACAAAGGCTGGAAAATAAATTTCAACATTGATTATCCTCTAGATACATTCTTCATCATATCCAAAACTGCATCTTCGGAAAAACAAATAAGAAAAATACCGTGCAGAATGTAACAGAATCTGTTAGAAGTTAGTTCCAAGGGTTGTTGTATATATACACCCTAATAAAGACTATTGTAACAATAATATAATGAGAGAGAGAGAGAGAGAGAGAGAGAGAGAGATAGTTATTTCATTATGATTAGTTAGTTACAACAATTATGATTAAGGTGCATATATAACACCCCTTGGTAAGTAACTCCAAACTGATTCTGTTACTACATTGTAACAGAATCCTAACTAAACCTTGACTAATTTTAGTTATATTACATTAGGGCTCTTTTATCAATACTCTAATAATTGATTCATAACGAGGATTAAAATCTCAAGTTTTAATGTGAAAATGCAAAGATTGTTTCTAGTGGAAATAAACCTAATGCAAATTTTGTGCAAAAATTTGATTAAGAGTGCATGCAAGGAGTGAACTCCAAACCAAATTGTCATAAAGACTCAGAATAAAATTCCAACTTGCATGTAGTGATTAAGGGATTGTAATTGCAGTCTTAATCAAATTTTTTATGACACTTGACCAAAAATATGGAAGATTATGAATGAATCAAGATAAAATTGAGATAAAATTGTTTAAGAAAAGCAGCAATATCATTTCCAAAACATTTGCAGCATCGAAGTGACCCATATATGAAAACTAACCTTTTCACATGTGGCCTCCAAAACATCCTTTAGCATTACAGAATGATCAGGTTCGGAGATGAAACTAAGGGGGTAGCCATGCATCTCCCTGGTCTTCAACCAAAGTTAGGCACACTGGCGAGCAAAACTGAGGAAAACGAAGATGAAGGAAAAACATCATGAAATGCTGAAAAATCAAGACACATTGCAACGAATGCAGTGATTAAGGGATTGTAATTGCAATTTTGGGGTGGGCAATTGCCTTCATTGAAAACTCCTTTGTATTTGTCAGTGTCTTACTGAATTGTAACACATAATAAGACTTGCAGATGACTATTGCAAAGGATAACAGTAATATTCAATCAGGATTAAGATTATATCTTTTTTCTAGATGAAAGAAAATATTCAGATTATATCAACTATCAAAGTGATGTTAACAAGACTTGCAGATGACTATTGCAAAGGGTAACAGTAATATTCAATCAGGATTAAGATTATATCTTTTTTCTAGATGAAAGAAAATATTCAGATTATATCAACTATCAAAGTGATGTTAACAAGACTTGCAGATGACTATTGCAAAGGGTAACAGTAATATTCAATCAGGATTAAGATTATATCTTTTTTCTAGATGAAAGAAAATATTCAGATTATATCAACTATCAAAGTGATGTTAACAAGACTTGCAGATGACTATTGCAAAGGGTAACAGTAATATTCAATCAGGATTAAGATTATATCTTTTTTCTAGATGAAAGAAAATATTCAGATTATATCAACTATCAAAGTGATGTAATTACATATAAAGATCTTACATGTTTCCAAGTTACATATTACAAATCAGACAACAATCAATACCTAAGCATGCGACCAAAATAACGAGCACGCTCTGTTACTCCAACAAAGCCTCTGGAGTCTAAATAAACATAAATAATCAAACAGAGTATAAAAAAATTGTCATGTCTTGTCCCTCGTTTTGTAGCAAATCAAAGCACCCATCGTTTTATCTAACACAAAATTTCTAATTGTAATATCTAATGCAATGAATACAAGTATACATGAAATTTCTCTTTTTTTTTTAGGACAAAGCAACATCAAAATCTCAAATAAAAACAGATAAAAAAATAGTGAATATACCTTGACTTTTTTGAGGAAATGTGGATGGTTTGTAAGGTATATGATAGTCCACATGATCCCAGTTGCTGTAGATTCATGTCCAGCAGCTAATAGTCCTATTAATAAATCACTAATATCTCCGTCCTTCATTTTTCTACCATTCACATCTTTCATATCTAATAGAATATCCATAAAATCCTTTTTCTCTCCCATATGTTGCCTATTTTTTATCTTCATCCTCCTTTCACTCACAACAGGTTCTAATATTTTCACTATCTTCTCTTGTGCCTACAATAATATCATGCAAACATAAATATTTAAAACGCCGCAGTTTCGCATCCGAAGCTCTCCGACTACTATCAACTGAGTTGACTTAATAGTAAACACATACTTTGAGATGAAAGACTATAAAGTGTTTAATACCTTGAGTGCTTGGTGAAAAGTAAAACCAGGAACATTAATGGGAAGAGAGTTCAAGCCATTCACCAAATCCTCAAATAAACTTTCAATCTTTTTAACAACGTTATGATTACAAGAGCACATAAAAACATGGACAATAGCTGTAAAAGAAACCTTCTTCACTTCTTTCAACAGCTCAACGGGATGCTTCATACTAGATACTTCTTCTAATGAAAATTCCTATAATATAGATATACATGAAATTTCTCTTCTTTTTTAGGACAAAGCAACATCAAAATCTCAAATAAAAACAGATTAAAAAATAGTGAATATACCTTGGCTTTTTTGAGGAAATGTGGATGGTTTGTAAGGTACATGATCCCAATTGCTGTAGCTTCATGATCCCAGTTCCTATAATGTAGCTTCATGTCAATAATTCATTTCAGCAGCTAGAGAATTAACAGTAAGAAAGAAACACAGACAACAGCGACATTCTTATATAATAACAATGAACAAGCATTGTGCATGTGAAATGAGAGTAAATTTCATAGAATAGACCCAAAACAAGTGTTAATGCAGAAATAGGATACACCTGATTATCTTCCTGTTGATTATCTTCCACATCGAAAATAACATCTACAAGAGCAGTGTAATTATCTGTTTCAATAAGCTCCCAGTTTCCTTCATACAATTTTATCAGTTTCTTTAACACTGGTTTCACTTTGGATTCATGAATGCCAAGGTTCGTCTTCGTGCGGAAAACTGCTTTAACTTTCGGATTGGGTGGGGTGTCATTTATGATCAATCAGTCACAGCTTTCTATATACTACACGCTACAAAATTCAACAAAACCACAATCATATTTCAATGATTTCCAAGATGAAACAAAATGTAGTATATGATTTAGAAATCACAAATACGAGTTACCCTTACCGAACTTAGATTCGGCTGAAGTCAATCTTGATTCTTGAACGGTGATCTTAACAGCGAAGATTAATGCAACAATTGAAACCTATAAACATTCAAGGACAAAAGAAAAACGTAAAGTAATCGCCGGAGAACGAAAAACGTAAAGTAATCTTCGGAGACGGAGAGTGAAAAAATTGAAGTGAAAACAAGAACGAAAGTTAAAGAGATGGAACAGTAAAGAAAACATTAAACCTGTGAGAGTTGAAGAACAAGACAATGCGGTCGAATGCCAAGGATCGTCATTGCGCAAAAAGCCGCTTTAACTTTCGGATTGGGTGGTGCCCATTTATGATCAATTCAGTCACAACTTTCTTACTAAACACATCATCCTTGATCTCTTCATTGGTTATGCTTGCTTCCAACTTATCCTTGGTAATATGATCTATGGCTGGGTAAGTGATAGGGGTTTGGTGCCACAGTTGTCCTACATTAGTTAAAGCAAAGAGAGTTTTATAATGTTCAAGAAAAATTTGGCGGAATTTGCCTTCATCTTCAACCCACTGGCCTTCACTGTTTTTAATCATCATTATTTTGTTATTTCTTCTGTGTTGCACTGTCTTCACATGGTAGAACTGGTGTTACCGTCTCCGTCAGTGAGCCATTAGGTCCTCACCCTTTGAAACCACATTAACTCCTCTTTCTGTAGAAGACCATGCATCTCTTGTTGCAACTGATATTCCATTCGAGCCAGGCCTCCACCGTGCCTTCTATGCTGAGATCTCTGTTGGATACCTTCAGGTCTTTTCATAATTGCTCTCTTTCTTCTCATAACTTGGTTAAGGGTGTGTAATTTCTACTTAGCTGCACCATCCCTTATATTCTCTAGATTTGTGGCTAGAGTCAGCTCATTGCTCCAATTTTCTTTAATCATTTAGTGATAGGACGTTTACAACACCCATGCACTTTCAAACCGAAAGCAAGGCTTGGTTTGCTTCCGGATAGATCCATTAACATAAATAATGATAGGATGATGATCTGAGTAATCAATTATGGGGAGAACTTTAACAAAGCCATTAGAAAACTGTAATCTCCAACTGTCATTACAAAGCACTCTATCCAATCTCTCATATATGTGCTGGCCTCCGTTGTAGATCGGTCCCTTCCACGTATATCTGGATCTCACCACTCCCATATCCATAAGACAAAAACCGTCCATGCTATCAAGAAATCTCTTGCATCTGTTCTGACAAACAGCAGCTTCACCCTTCTTTTCATGAGCAAATGCAATGTCATTACAAAGCCATTAGAAAACTTTAATCTCCAACTGTCATTACAAAGCACTCTATCCAATCTCTCATATATGTGCTGGCCTCCGTTGTAGATCGGTCCCTTCCACGTATATCTGGATCTCAACACTCCCATATCCATAATACAAAAACCGTCCATGCTATCAAGAAATCTCTTGCATCTGTTCTGACAAACAGCAGCTTCACCCTTCTTTTCATGAGCAAATCCAATGTCATTACAAAGCCATTAGAAAACTTTAATCTCCAACTGTCATTACAAAGCACTCTATCCAATCTCTCATATATGTGCTGGCCTCCGTTGTAGATCGGTCCCTTCCACGTATATCTGGATCTCACCACTCCCATATCCATAAGACAAAAACCGTCCATGCTATCAAGAAATCTCTTGCATCTGTTCTGACAAACAGCAGCTTCACCCTTCTTTTCATGAGCAAATGCAATGTCGTTGAAATCTCCCAGCCACCAGCCGGGACTCTCTCACGGTAAGGCTGATTGCACGCAAGTCATTCCACATAATCCTTCTATTTTCTATAATAGGACTAGCATAAACAGTAGTAAACCACCAAATTGCACCATGCTTAGGTTGGATCTTGAGGTGAATATACTGAAACTTTTTATGAATAACAGTTACATTAATGTCTTCCTCCATCCAAGCAATAGCAATGCCTCCTGCATAACTTGATTTTCATTAGAGCAAAAGCCATCAAAACGCAACTTGAGAAGAGATTTTTGGAGCTTGGACTGGTCACAACAAGTTTCCATGATGGCAATCAGCTTAGGCTTGTGAATACTAGTGTACTGTTTACAATACCTAAAAAAACTTTTCTTGGCTCACCTCTGCAATTCCAAACAAGTAAAATGTTGTACAATCATCATAAAATTAGAAAAGAAATGGAAGTAGTCCCCATAGTTCTCACTGTTCAATCAGATCAGTGGCTTTCGCACCATTCTCATTCTAACTCTCTCACTGTTCAATTAGTGTTTGCCACTTACGCCCCAACTACCTCAATTTGTCAGTGGTCAGATTAATCCCCTAAAGATTCAAATAAAAAATTAATAACAATAACACCTAACAACAATAACCATACAAAATAGATGCAGCAACGTAGCATACCCAGAAATTTGTCATGACATTCTTCCCTTGAACATCCTCGGCTCTAAGCCTAATCTTCCTGAAAGCCTGTTCTTCATCCCCTCGGAGATCAGCCAGAGAAACCTCAAACACTCTATGTTTGAGTCCATCTGAAGCAATCTGTGTCATTAAAAAACAATCATTTTAATAAGACTAGCAGATGACTATTGCAAAGGGTAACAGTAATATTCAATCAGGATTAAGATTATATCTTTTTTCTAGATGAAAGAAAATATTCAGATTATATCAACTATCAAAGTGATGTAATTACATATAAAGATCTTACATGTTTCCAAGTTACATATTACAAATCAGACAACAATCAATACCTAAGCATGCGACCAAAATAACGAGCACGCTCTGTTACTCCAACAAAGCCTCTGGAGTCTAAATAAACATAAATAATCAAACAGAGTATAAAAAAATTGTCATGTCTTGTCCCTCGTTTTGTAGCAAATCAAAGCACCCATCGTTTTATCTAACACAAAATTTCTAATTGTAATATCTAATGCAATGAATACAAGTATACATGAAATTTCTCTTTTTTTTTAGGACAAAGCAACATCAAAATCTCAAATAAAAACAGATAAAAAAATAGTGAATATACCACCTTGACTTTTTTGAGAAAATGTGGATGGTTTGTAAGGTATATGATAGTCCACATGATCCCAGTTGTTGTAGATTCATGTCCAGCAGCTAATAGTCCTATTAACAAATCACTAATATCTCCGTCCTTCATTTTTCTACCATTCACATCTTTCATGTCTAATAGAATATCCATAAAATCCTTTTTCTCTCCCATATGTTGCCTATTTTTTATCTTCATCCTCCTTTCACTCACAGCAGGTTCTAATATTTTCACTATCTTCTCTTGTGCCTACAATAATATCATGCAAACATAAATATTTAAAACGTTGCAGTTTCGCATCCGAAGCTCTCCGACTACTATCAACTGAGTTGACTTAATAGTAAACACATAGTTTGAGATGAAAGACTATAAAGTGTTTAATACCTTGAGTGCTTTGTGAAAAGTAAAACCAGGAACATTAATGGGAAGAGAGTTCAAGCCATTCATCAAATCCTCAAATAAACTTTCAATCTTTTTAACAACGTTATGATTACAAGAGCCCATAAAAATATGGACAATAGCTGTAAAAGAAACCTTCTTCACTTCTTTCAACAGCTCAACGGGTTGCTTCATACTAGATACTTCTTCTAATGAAAATTCCTATAATATAGATATACATGAAATTTCTCTTTTTTTTTAGGACAAAGCAACATCAAAATCTCAAATAATAACAGATAAAAAAAAATACTGAATATACCTTGGCTTTTTGAGGAAATGTGGATGGTTTGTAAGGTATATGATAGTCCACATGATCCCAGTTGCTGTAGCTTCATGTCCAGCAGCAAACAGTCCTATTAACATGAATCAAAACTCGGTAACAAAACACAAAACAACACAAGCCACACAACACTCCTAAAATCCTTGAGGCATGTGAATTTTCGTTTTTTCATTATTGTTGTGTATGGTTTGCTAGCTAACTCAGGGGGAACACACCGACACAGATTCTTAATTTTTTTTCTTAAAAAAAACAAACTAAACAAGAAATGAATCGGTTCTGAAAAGTATCGAAAAAGAAAATCTGTGAAAACACTCCTAAATCTACCTTAGTTCGTCAACAAACAACAATATTTGAATGGCTAAATCAACCTTCACCCTTCTTTTCATGAGCAAATGCAATGTCGTTGAAATCTCCCAGCCACCAGCCAGGACTCTCTCACAGTAAGGCTGATTTCACACAAGTCATTCCACATAATCCTTCTATTTTCTATATTAGGACTAGCATAAACAGTAGTAAACCACCAAGTTGCACCATGCTTAGGTTGGATCTTGAGGTGAATATACTGAAACTTTTTATGAATAACAGTTACATTAATGTCTTCCTCCATCCAAGCAATAGCAATGCCTCCTGCATAAATTGATTTTCATTAGAGCAAAAGCCATCAAAACCCAATTTGAGAAGAGATTTTTGGAGCTTGGACTGGTCACAACGAGTTTCCATGATGGCAATCAGCTTAGGCTTGTGAATACTAGTGTACTGTTTACAATACCTAAAAAAACTTTTGTTGGCTCACCTCTGCAATTCCAAACAAGTAAATGTTGTTGTACAATCATCATAAAATTAGAAAAGGAATGGAAATAGTCCCCTAACATCTCACTGTTCAATCAGATCAGTGGCTTTCGCCTTGGAGATCAGCCAGAGATTAGCCTAATCTTCCTGAAAGTGTGATCTTCATCCCCTTGGAGATCAGCCAAAGAAACCTCAAACACTCTATGTTTGAGTCCATCTGAAGCAATCTGTGTCATTAAAAAACAATCATTTTATATTGAAGTATACAAAATTCTAATGACACAACAATCAAACACATGAAAGACCAAACATCAGGACATCTTTAAGATTCAATAAAATCAAAACACAACATAAAAACCAATATTTGAGGATTAAACCTCCCTCCCAAACATACCCTAAAGAGATTTACCTCAGTTTTCTAGTCAAACATGCAACAAGGTATTCAATCAGCATACTACAAGTAACTATAAATTCATAACCATTTTTGGCCCTTCTCCTAATGATTTGAAATTTTAGATAAGTTGGTAATGCCATCAATAAACTGAAGATTCGGTTATATGCTACAAGTAACTAGTGGAAACAAATATTTTATTAACCTAGAAGAACATGCAGAAATAGAATGCAGAATTATATAATTTAAATAATCATAAAATAAACATAATTACCCCTACATAACTCATCAGGACATTTTATCCACATCCAAACTACTAATCAGTAACATCTGGCCAA